ATGTTTGCGTTGTTACTCTGAGTGCATATCCACACCGGGCGAGCTTGAAAAATATGCCCGGCCACGGTGGGATTCGAACCTACGACCTTTGGAATACTAGCCCAATGCTCTTGGGCATTCGAGTGTGTGGTATTTCGGAACTAAGTCTAGTGGCTTCGGTACCAATAGGTTCTATGATCATGATATTTTTAGTGTGTGTTTTGATGTTATGTACTCAGGTGAATATAATGTTTTCGATGCTACTAATAAAAAAATTTCATGCAAGTCACTATATAAATAGGTTTACATGAAGTAGTGCGTCACATTATAGGCGCGCAAAGGGGAATGGGATACGAAATTAAATATCAAAGTAGAGCAACATAGATAAATCAAATAAGTGGATTTAGCTGATAACATTTGGTTACTTATTAGTCACCGGTCATTGATAATAAGAGAGTCATTTTCTGCTTTACGCAGACTTTACAATAATTCTGGAATTCTAGGACCTAAAAGACCCATTGATGCCGTACACTACCACTCTACCAACAACAAAAATTTGAGTTACTATTTAACTTCATTATTGGTCTAAATGGAGGCTGGCTACAAATTAATCTATACATGGCTTCTCAAATTAAAGCCCAATTGCTGTTAGAACAACAGTAGGAGACTTTAAGAGTCAATGAGTATGAGTGATGATTTATATGATAAATCAAATATATTAAATCATTAAATCAAATATTATAATAATTTTGTTTGTGGAAACACCACGTAAATTTATTACTGCAAATGCAAAGCTTTCGATCCGTAAGCCCGGATCTTCATCAGTGCTAATAATATGATGCATTATTATTTTATTAGCTTCAGCTAACATTATTTTGACAAATGCAGTAATCAGTATTAAGTTCTTTGTAAGTTTGCATGGCGATAAAACATAGACAAAACAATAGTTTTGTTTGTGAAAACACCACGTAAATTTGAAAAGGTACAGATATAATTCCTTCTAATATCCTTAGTTCTGGATCTCTAGTATCTCTATAAAATTACAAGTTATAATGTCAAGTCTTTGGGCTATGTCTCTGGGCTGAGACATCTGATCATGCTTACATGCGATGAAAATGTTTTATAAAACTTATAAAACGATGTAAAACGGTAATCTATATGTAATGGATCAGCATTTAAATTTCAAACACAGTTTCTGCGACGTAATTCAAGAGATAACTTATCATTGCATTTGAACTATTACATCAGTTGGTGTTATACTGTGCAATAATCGAATATTATTCAGAAAGAAGATTTCCATATACGTTAATTGAAATCACCAAATAAACAGCCCATGCACACATTTCTCCATTTCGTCGTAAGTTTACGGAGCATATTTTAAACTTTGGGACTGATCTTTGTCTTTGATGTGAACATTTGTTCTTCTAGTTTAAGGTTATTCAAAATTGATCCTGTCGTAAGTGTTCTACCAGCAACCAGTCGACAATATTTCATCTTAGCGTTGTTTTCGCCGTTACGTTGGCTTCGTGAATCGTGTTACTTTTGTTTTAAATACCTTGATCGCGTTAAAAGTGTTATTTTCAGGCCAGTGACATAGCCAAAAGACATTTCATTAATGTCCTTGTGATTTTATAGAAATATCTCTAAAACTGAGGTTTTAGAAAGCGTAATACCATAGTTGCCTCGAAATCCTTTGTCTAGCGAGGTACGATTAATCACTCATTTACCTCATTACCCGTCTTCTAAATTCCCCTCACCCCGGGAAATTTAGTTGAAAACAAAGGATTTCTTTGTCTTCTAATTTTCCCTTGCATGCTTGATGAGGGAAATTTAGAAGACAAAAGCGTACATCATTACCTCTGATTGGAGAGCTGTACCTCATCGAAAATCGTCGGCACAACTACGGACAATATGTGACAACACCGTTCCGTACACATTCGAACAATCACTTTGTCAACTTTTATTCCCTAATCTTGAACATTACAATTGTGGGAGAAAATTCCGTTTATGCGCATGCCTAAAACGAATCAACACGGAGATGTGTTTCTGCGCATGCGTATATATGAAAAGTGTTCGTACCACAATCATAAGACAATGAAACAGCATTCAAAACAGGCAACACACCACGCGCGATTTCCTCGGCAACTATGATATTACAAAGTAATAGCATGGCATTACGGTCGATTAGTGATGAAATGTCCCTCAAGCCTCGAGAGGTTTAGTAAAACTAACTAAACCTCTCTCGGCTTTCGGGTACATTTAATCACTAATCGCCCTGAATGCCATGCTATTACTTATAAATATCTGTACTTTCTCAAAGTTGTAGACAAGATATGTTGTTTACGTCCAACACGCATAAGATCGCATAACTCAAAATGATTCGAGCAAAACCGGTCTTTTGTTAAAAGGAAGACTGGTTAATAGAAATTGGTCCGTTTGAGTGACATAATCGTGTATCGTCATCGATCCGTGTCGTTGAACAATGAAATAAAAGATAAGATAGCATTTTGTGCAAAAACTGCGGGTCTACGGAGTGGAAACTTTTCAGATTTGAAATCAGCGTGCTTGAAAGTGTTAGTTCCCCTCAAAATATTTCAGATCTAACTACATGCTTAATTAATGAAAGTGAACGATATCGGGTAGCCTGTGTACAGCCGTTACTCTCGACGAAGCGCGCGAGAGAACGTCTGTGAGTTGGATGCATAATCCTTGTTCAGGTCACGTGAATAGTTCCCAGATTTGGGAACCGGCCTCTGATTGGACAGTGCTTGATTTGAATAATTTATGACAAATGAAGCTAATTCATTGGTTAATTGATAATTAGCATGCGTTTAAAATGTCAGCACAAAAATTCTAAATTCAGAGATTTCCAGATCAAGAATCAAGATTTCCTTCGGGGCAAATAAAGGTTTGAATGACTTGAAATATAATTTGTTGAGTTTAATTTTGTGCTGTATCGAAGTTTAAGAAAATCAAGATAAAATCTAGTGTTTTGACACTCAGCGAACAATGCCAACAAATATATAAAATACAACAAAATATCAGACGGAAATTGACAATTTATAATTGACAATTTGTTGACAAATTGAGAATCTGTTCATATGTCCCGACCCCTCGCGATAAAGCATTTTCTTTACATGTAATGTGTTTAACAAGTAAGCTTGGCCAGTTAACTTTTAATTACTATCAAGTCTAGTGTCTTCATCAGTGGTGATCTAAAGATGCAATCGTGGCTTCTTAGTTACCCAAGAGATGACGTCACCTGACGAGATGCATGTATTCCTCTGGCAAATAGGCACCGTCATCCCTATATATAGTCAGGCAGATAGAGGATCAAAATTATGGAAAACTTACCATATCGTGGGACAATTCTACTTTGCCTTCATATTGTGCACTGAAGGCTAATAAGTACGTTTCTGCATGTTGGCGGCGTTAAAATTTCTTGTGAGCTCCTGCAGACACGTTTTTCTTCGAATTTTGCATTAACTTCTATTACAGTTAAAAAATGTGAAATTTCCGATACATTTCGAATACAAATGACTTGCACCAATAGAATGCTAACAAAAACCTACATATATGAAATTTAAATGTTTAGTTGGGATTTTCAAGCGGTTTTCGAGCTGTTGCTGTTTCAAATGTGAAAAATAAGCCAAAATCTCGTAAAATTCCTGGGAACTAGTCTGAAAACACGCTTTCAACAGCTCATAACTCAAGAAGAATTTGAAAAACCCTGGTAACCGTTTAAATGTCTTATATGTAGTTTTCTGCAAGCTTTCAAATGATTAAGTCATTCGTGTTAGAAATGTATTTGAAATTTCACATTTTTTAACTGTAATAGAGTTTAATACAAAATTCGAAGAAAAACGTGTCGGCAGGAGCCCACAAGAACTTTTAACGCCGCCAACATGCAGAAACGTACTTATTAGCCTTCAGTGCACAATATGAAGGCAAAATGGAATTGTCCCACGATATGGTAAGTTTTTTCCTTCTATCTGCCCGATTATACTATTCAAAGCATGATTACTCATATTTATATGCCACGTTTCTAGGCAAGTCTTTGACCATAGCGATTGTTTGTGGTAATTACTTTAGAGTTTTCCCACGCAATCTCGTGTTTGGTGTAACATACATGTTCTGCTAAAGCTGATTTTCCCTGGTCTAAAGTTGAAACAGCCTTTTGATGTTCTTTTAGCCGTGTTCCAAACTGGCGTTTAGACTGACCCAAATACTCTTTCTCGCAGTCACCGCATGGTATAGAATATGCAGCATGATCCAAAAGATCCTGTTAACACAAATCAGAAAACTCATACTGTACATTCTATACCATGCGGTGACTGCGCGAAAGAGTATTTGGGTCATACTAAACTTAACGCCAGTTTGGTACACGGCTAAAAGAACATCAAAAGGCTGTTTCAATTTTAGACAAGGGAAAATCAGCTTTAGCAGAACATGTATGTTACACCAAACACGAGATTGCGTGGGAAAACTATAAAATAATTACCACAAACAATCGCTATGGTCAAAGACTTTGCCTAGAAGCGTGGCATATAAATATGAGTAATCATGCTTTGAATAGGGATGACAGTGCCTATTTGCCAGAGGAATACATGCTTCTCATTGGCAGGTGACGTCAACCCTTGGGTATTTAAGAAGCCACGATTGCGTCTTTAGATCACCACTGATGAAGACACTAGACTGGACTGTCAAAAAGTTGGGTCTTGATTACAATTCGACTGGGCTTTGTAATAATTTATTTACACCAGAGTAGCGAGCGAAACATGACAGTTGTGTTTATATTTAATACTTTGTCTTTGTAAACAAATATACGCCATATGTACGCCAATAACAGAGCTTGTACACCGGACTTGCCAGCAATGATCATCGTTCTGTAATCAGCATTAGAAACAGGAATAGCACGAGAAATATATGCAATATATTTCTGGTGCATCGTTGATTGTATTTCAAGTCTTTCAAACTTTTGTATGCTCCGAAAGAAATCTTGATTCTTGATCTGGAAATCTGAATTTAAAATATTTGTGTTATTTTAAACGCATTCTAATTATCAATTAACCAATGAAATAGCTTCATTTGTCATAAATTATTCAAATAAAGCACTGTCCAATCAGAGACCGATCCCCAAATCTGGGAACTATCCACGTGACCTGAACAAGGATTATGCATCCAAACTCATAGACGTTCTCTCTCGCGCTTCGTCGAGAGTAACGGTTGTACAAAGGCTAATATCGGGTCACAACACACGGACTATAAGTTCATTACGATTTCTCTCAGGTGAGATTTCCAACTTCCAACGAGTTCCCAACTTTCAATGGTCTGCCTAAACATGGTGTAAGCTAACATTTAAAGAACAGTTGCATTATAATTTAGGAATAACATTTCTCTACAGTACGTACAAATTAAATTTTAAATAACATTTCTATTCCTTCTACATTAAATTAAGTCGACAAACGATGTCGATAACAAATTATTTACAATACTGGTATACAATTAAGCATTTGGTTAAATAGCTATCGGCTATCAAAAGGGTACCATCCCTATCCGCAATAAATAATTTATTTAACACAGTTTTTAAACTGACTATAAAATTCTTATGAAAGGATTACTGTCGCACCATGGCATTGCGGGCTCAAATTCGTGCTGGCGACCATTTTATGGGCCGAGTAGATCAATAGATCTAGAAATTTTTCCCATGATTTCATGTGACACTAATCCTTTGAGGTGTTTGTCTGGGACTCGGAGTGGATGAATATACCCGATTCACTTGCAAATTTAGTCATACAGGCAGTATCAAGAAAGGTAATTCATGGCATGTCTAGTGCTGTAAATACTGAGTTCATAGATTTACTTCTTTTTCAATAAGATCACGGACAGGTCTTTGTAGATGTCAATTTGCGATTCCCCTTATTACGTTTTCGTAGCGTTTTGCATTGTGCTTATAGTGGTATCACTATTGATAAAGATAGCGGCCTCGAATGAAAATATTGAATGCTTTCGAGAATATTTTGCCGTTGGCTATCGCGCACCTGACCCTAGCTTTTTTTAAAAGTTCTTGCACGGCTCAGGACAAAAAATAAACCATCTTGAATATCAGTGATAACACTATAACCACAATGCAAAGCGCTACGAAAACGTAATAAGGGGAATCGCGAATTGAAAGCTTTTCACCTTCCAATTTAAGAAATAATCAAATTGGCCATTCTAAATCGGATCGAATGGCCATTTGTGATCGCAATGATACAAACATGGTGTCATTTGACGTTTTGACGACTAAATTGACAGTCCATTATCGGCAGAGAGAAGTAAGTGTATAAACTTTTATTATACCTGACCCACGATATTGAACATGGCAAACTTGTACCTTTTTTTATACACCCTGTATAATAAACCGTTTACGATGTACAACATGATATGCTAGACAATCAGATGTCATTTTAAGTTTTTAGATGCAACTATTGTCTGTAACTGTCTTCCATATTAATATATAAAAGACGGAAAAAGTCTTTCTTCTATCCTATTGTTATTTTTAATGTTGACGAAAATTTCTGCACGGTATATGCAATGAGTTCCAAATGAATTGATTGCAAACAACTAATAATAAGTACAATTTAAATTATTTGTGCATGTGAAGTCGTCTCAACATAACATTCTAATTATTATAGACGCTTGCTTGGATTGTCGAATTTTCAAAACACGTCTATTGACTTACACCTCAAAGGTCTTAAAGCATAGACTTCCTTCCAATTTGTTTATGCCTAAATTAAAGCAACGAGCTTACTTGAGGCTCATAGATGACAACGCTTGGAGGATACGTTTGGCGTCACAGATTTATTGTCTCCTATAAAGATCCTTTGTTTTGCGAGCTTCCACTTCGTAGATCGTTAATTCCTTAGTACGATTATCAACATCTGGTCAACGATCGTTTTTGAACATTATGTTTGTAAATTCGTTTCTTTACGATTACCTTCCTTGTCAGGGGAACATAACGAATCTCCTTCACTTTCACTGTCTGATACAACATATGCACTTGACATCGTTGGTCGTTCCTCTTTCTTTCTGCTTCCGTCAATTAAACTACCTCCAATACTAGCTGTACTGTGACGACTTTTCTCTGGAGAGCGGTCATGCGAAAGTAAGATTGCCTGAAGTTTTTCACAAAGTTTCTTGAACTTCTGTGATGAACCTAGTAAATAAAGAAACCACGGTTAAAAGAGCTTCCGAAAATTACATATATGTTATTTACCGGCTGCGAGGTCCGGATGAGAAAAACTGTGCCCGAGGGGCGTTTTCAAGACCGAGGGCACAGTTTTTCTCATCCGGACCGACGCTGCCGGTAAATAACGTGTTTATTTTTTATCAGATGTAAAAATTAAATTCATTAAAATTCCACTGTTGCTTGCGAACTAATTTGAGAAATTTGAGATCAGTGAAGTTGTGTATTTTCAAAGCGAGGCTGACAAAAATTGAAAAGTTGAAAGATATAAAACACGAATACGAAAACTCGAGAAAACTGGCAAGAAACACACAAAAAGACGTATAGTTTCAGTAAAAATGTACAAGCTTTTTCCATGAATATGGTAGCAGAGAAGCTTTGGAATAAAAACTTTTATGCCGACAGGTTCATATTCAGATCCGATTAAAAACAAATAAAAATGAATCTGTTTTGATTTAATCAACGTTTTTCTACTAAAAAAACAATGAAAAAGATATGTTATTTTTATATTTTTGTATTTTTGCTTGTCGTTTCACGATAATATGCTTGAAAAAAGTGTTTTTAAAGACAAATTTTTACTTTGTTTACAATATTTATATCAGTGAAAAATGCATGACACAAATGGGCAGAGAATATATTCGTGACTTGTTTTTACTGCTGCAGTTAAACCTTCTTTTAAATGGGAAAACATTTATTTTACAATATCTGTTTCAGCTGTAATTTTTTAGCTTTTAAGTGGCCGAATACATGAGCATTTAAAAAATGTATAGTTTTCTCGCCGTAAGTTTTATACATGTCAAATAACTTTCCAACTTTCAGTCGCATTTCTATCAAAATATTGTCAACTCTGGTGAACATCATTTTTAGTATGAAGTCTTTAGGGCTTGTGATGCGATTCATTTTCGTATTCTGACTATCGTTAGGCTATGTTTTCAAACTTTTTTGGCAGATTCCTCGGTTTTTGGCGCGAAAACCAGAGCGGGCAGTTGCATTTCACAGCGGGCAGTTGCGTTTCAGAGCGGGCCGGATGCTCCCCAGCCAATCAGATTGCTTCATTTTCACTGATAAAAATAAATGAAAATACTGAAATATCTTGAAAATACTATACAACATTTCAAAATTTTGTGAGCACATTTGAAATGTTGGGTCTGTGTTAAAATATTGAGAACCTTAAACAAGCAGTAATGCAATGAAACTCATATTATTGTAGAGACGAAATGAATAATTAAAAAGTCAACGGAGTATATAAGACGTCGACTTGCATGAAGAAGCTTAACATGTGCTCAATGTAGTACGCGGACTTGACAAAAAATAGTTAATTATGTTTTACTTTTGAATTTGTTACCAGTTTAAATTTGTTTTTCAAAAGTATCCGTCTTTGTTGGAAAAAGGAATCCATACTTTATACCCGTGTTGCTAACACTGTGAATTTAGCGTGTGTCTTTTGTCATTGAATTTATCATTTCTTAAGCTAGGTAAATATCAGATTTTTTTAGCAACTTAAACGATTGAAAATTTCAAGGTGACTGTTTTATTTTTTTTGTCTATTATATATCTTCCATGCAGGTTACTGTTGTGAAACCTGATTCATATATGCATGTAGGCCTGCAAAAGCATTTCAACAGAGTTGCCAAAGTTAGAAGCAAGTCTTTCTGAAAATGTAGATTAACAAACTGTGTTGAACGTTTTAGGCTAGGAAGCAAACAAAGAGTGAAACCCAAAGTGAAAATTATCATTAAAATACGCAACCGTTTTAACGAGCTATCTACATTCAAAAACGAATTATTGAACTACAGTACTTCGTAACAGCTCAAGTAACATACGTTTAACAAAGCAGGTATGAATAGCAGGAATTGGTTCAGCGACTCCAGCCAGATATAGCGGCGTGCTCATTTAACAATTAGACAACGAAGTCAATTCCCAAACTATTCGCAATAGACAATGAGGCGTAGTTGACTATTCGCCATGGACAACGATAGTCAACGAAATGTAGCCCGAATTGACTATTCAGCATAGACAACGAGACCGAGTTGTCTAATTGTTTTAGTATACACTCTTACTCAACATACAAACTCCCAGCACAATTGGAAAGATATAAATAAAAAATTAAAAGCATGGATGCACGAGCGTTTGAATGATTTATTTCAACCTTCACCAACCTCGTACCCAGGCTCTTTTGCTCTTGGGAAGCAAAGACCCTGGTCGGAGCTGGTCACGTGACCCATTGAAAATTGATAGCCCAAGAGGGGGATAGAAAACTCTCATATTACATGTTTCCACTTCCGCACTTCGATTGCAAGGAGTGGCCGTTCTGTACAATCATTAATTCATCTTCAAGAATCATATATACCTCAAACTACTTGCTAAATTGGTTTCTGTTTGCTTTTAAATTATACAAACAT